AGCTAAATCCCCCACCCTCCATATATATACTTTTAAATTTAAATTTTTCACAGGACTGGAGATTGAACTTGGGGCCTTTGGACACAGCTATATCACCCCTCCCTCCCTTGTTTTTTGAGACAGGGATTGGCTAAATCACCTAGGTTGGGCTTGAACTTGCTATCCTCCTGCCTCTCAGAGTGCTGGGGTTATAAGTGCATGCCACTATGCTCCACTCATTTTGTATATTAGCCATCTGTATTTCTTCTTCAATAAATTGACTGTGGTCCATTTTTCTACTGGAATTTAAAATTTTATCTTGTTAGTTCATAGATTATAGAAATTATCCTTTTTCATTCATGCTCTAAAGATTTTCTGTGTATAGTTTATCTTTTGACTTTATGATATTGTAGTATATAATTAAAAAAAAAACTTTTGTGGACTCAAATTTATCAATGTTTTGGCTTCTTGTTTGGAATGGTGTTAGAAAATACAAAATTATATGCATGCTGTCCACAGTAGGAAGCTACTGTATCTGAAAAACATAACTTATAATCAGAAGTTTGCTCCATTGCACTGAGTCAGAACAAAGAGAATTGTGGGATGTTTTACTCAAACTAGCTAAACCTGGAGGATTATTTGTTATACCATGAGTTGCAAATTTCTAGAGCTCAGAATATGTGTCAAGTAGCACCTTGCCCTTTGCAGTTTCAAATGTTCCTAACGTTTTAACCATTCCACTTTTCCAGTATTTATCAGGCATCTAAAGCATCTGCCAATGCAATATTATCTCATGAAAGCCATGTTATAAATACTTAGGGTTGTTTTGCTTTTTTTGGTACTGAGGATTGAACTCGGATCCTTGTGCTTGTGCAGCAGGCGGCAAAACCACTGAGCTAAATCCCCGGCCCACTTAGGGTTGTTTTGTATTAGTGAAATATTGCATTTAATGGCATTTTTCTTTTACTTTGCCCTCAGATTTGAAGGGTGAACTCTTTCGGTCCTATGAAATAAACTCCACTTTTTAGGACAGGAGTGAAGCAGGCACATAACATTGTGAGCTAAACATACTGAAGGTTACACACACGACACACGGACACATGCACCCATGCAGCAGTACCTAAGTGCAATAAATACCAACCAAATTGTTTTGGCTGGAAAGGGTAGCAAGTCAGGAGGCAGTGGACACCAAGCAGTTCTAGCTTGTGTGTCTAGGGCCAAACAAATGATGAATACTGGGACAAAATTTTCATGCCAAAATGCTTCAGTGCCAAACTAGAGAAGTTTCAAAGCAGACAAATACCAAGGCATGACTGTGCAAGTGCGTGTGCACGGACGGGGACGGGGACACACACACACACACACACACACACACATATTTCTATTAGTACTGGGGACTGAATCCAGGGGCTTCAGCGTGCTAGGTGAGGGCTCTATCACTGAGCTACAGCGCTAGTCTTTTTCAAATTTTAAGAGGTCTCCTTAAATTGACCAGGTTGGCTTCAAACTTACTATTCTCCTGCTTCAGCCTGGAGAGCAGCTGGGATTACAGTGTACACCACCATATCGGGCTTTAGTGAATTGTTATGAATGTGCTCTAGCAAAAAGAAAAGAGGGGCTACTGTCAAATACTCTTAAATGTCATTACAAATTTGCTACATAATTAATTTCAGGTGTTGTATCAGTTACACTTAACTTTCAGTGGTATGTTTCACAACATGAAACCAAGTTTACTAAACAGGAACTTTTCAATTTTGTTCAAAGCATAAAATTATTTTAAAGTTTCAGTTGCTACAGAATTAACTAACACCATAAATTTGTAAAACTAATGAAAAACTGTACCATGTACTATAAATGCGATGTCTGCAGCAGAAAAGCAGTAGTTTTCATCTAATACTAAACCGGGAAAACATAAAACAAAATCATTTAATATCAGTTGATAGTAAATTGCCGTAACTGAAGTAAATTAATGTGAAACGATTTGGTACACATTCCAATTTTTCTATTACTTCGATTGGAATCTTGCATTAACTCATATATAACTGTAAAATTTCCACTACTCCCCATTTAGTGTTCTAGCTGCATCATTCTGTAACTTGACTCTATTAAAAACTGTATAAACCTCCACCAAAGATAGTCTATAAAAGAAATAGAAATTTATTTTGAATAGTATTCCACTCCCCGAAGCTTTAGCGGTAAGTAAAAACGTCTGACTTTATTTCTTGTTATTGATATTTAGATGTTTCTGTTTAACCTTTATTGTTCAGTTGATTAAATACACCATAATTCTCTTTTTAAAGTTGCAGGAAAAAAAAAACAGCACAGAGAATGAGAGGGAAACTAAAAAAGACGTGAAATAAATATAATTTAAGGACTAAAATAATCTCTATATTACATTAGGAATGCTTTAGAATCGTTATCAGGTGAAATCTCCACAATTTACCCGGAGCTTGTACTATTTTTCCTTTGTCTTATTAAATACGTTTTATTCATTTTCTTCTAAGTGAAACGATATTAAGGAAATATTTCAACCAAGATATAAAATAAGAAACAGAAACAAAGAGTTTTAAACCAAATCCTATGCGTCTAGGAACTTCTCTAACAGTAATGGAGATATTTAATAGGTCACTGCTTCCTGTCCTAGGAAAAGTGGCGCTTGGAAGGGACAGGCCCTCCCCAAGTTTTTCTCCCCAGCTTAGAGTTCTTAGCAGTCAAAGGTCCAGCACGCTGGACTCGAAATAAACAACAAAAAGCAAAGGTGACAGACTTCAGTTAATGGGGGTAGAAGGAGCGGAAGGGGTCCTTTGGAACTTCAAACACCGTGGGGGAGGACCGGGTGGCTGGTTACAAGGAAGCAGCAGCATTCCTGGCACTGTCTCAACGCCCCCACGCCCCCCCCCCCGCGTTTCCAGGAAGCGAGCGCGCGCGCGGGGAAGGCCAGGAAGCCGGGCCGGGTCCCAGCAGTCTTCTGCCCTTTGCCATTTCCCTCCACTTTGCTCTGCTCTCCTCTTCCGCCTCCAGATCGGGGGTTCAGTTGGTGGAGCACCCAGCCTAGCCTAGCAGCCCAGTTCCCTAAATCAGCTAGACCGTGAGATAGGGACGTTTTTTTGGTACAGGAATAGTGTGGGTTGCAAAGAAAAAACCTTTCTTTTCCACTGCTAGGACTTCCTGGTAAAGAATCAGGTCCCCGTTCCTCTAAACTCGAAGCAAAAAGCAAACAAAACAGAAAGCAACCAGAAATCCCAAGCCCCATTACATCGCTTAGGGGCCAGAGTTCTGTAAGTTGGGTTCTTTGGCCGGGAAGGGTCCTACCGGAGCGAAGCGAGGGTCCGAGCACTTGGGTCGCAGGCCCATCGCTGGGGCGTGTCAGAGGAGGGGACTTAGAAGGGTTATGCCCCACTGGGCAGCACCGCGTGGGTGCGCGAGGGGCGGAGGAGCCGGGGGAGAGTCACCGAGCGAGCCCAGCCTCTCAATTCCCATGGCCGGGGCTCCACCGGACATTCCTACTGCCCTCCCTTCGACACCTTCCCCCGCACCCCTAATAAAAACAGGAACTGTGGTCCCAAGGAATCCGCGGCCGAAGCGCGTCCAAACGAAGTAGTAAGTCGAGCGCGGGCACGGCACCTTGTTTACCCCACTCGGCGGCGCGCCCCTGCGGGCGCCTCGCTAGCAAAAGGCGTCGGAGACGCTGAACCCGGGAGTCAGCCGGCCAGGATTGGTTGGTGGCGGGGAGGAGGACGCTGGGTGGGAGGGCTGGGGGCCAGGCGCTGCAGTACAAGCTCGCTGCCGCTAGATGACACCCCCCCCCAACGGGAGCCGGGCGCGGATTCGTGGCCGACAGATGGCGCCTGCGCGTTCCATTCGCCTCCAAGTCGCTGAAGAGCGAACACCCCAAACAATCCCGAAGCGCCACCAAAAAAAAAAAAAAAAAAAAAAAAAAAAAAAAAAAAAAAAAGAAAAAAAAAACCCCGCCGGATCCGACCGCCACTTTCAAAACCCCCCACCGCTCTAGAACCGCGGGAGCTTCCGTCCCTGAGTAGAATTCGAGGGTGTAAAGAAGAGGAAGGGGAAAAAAATCTTGTACCAGCCCAGGGGTGAAGAAGCCCCCGGCCTGAGAAAGAAGGAAGGAGTGGGGGAGGCGAACAGTCTCGTTGCTGCCTCCGTGTACGCTGAGGGGGGAGGTAAGTTATAAAATGGCGGAGGCGAAGCTTCTAGAAGTTTGGAGGGGCACCCGGAGGGCGCGGGGCCCAGCGCGAGGTGTCTGTGGTAGCAATAGGGCGAGAGAAGAGTTGGGAGGGAAGAGAGGCTGGGCACTCTGTTGCCATTTCATTTCCCTCCCCGCTTCCTGTGCCCCCACAGGGGGCAGCCATGGAGTGAGCGAGCGGCCAAGTGCAGGCGGGGACCGTCTTCCTCGCCCCCGCGTCACCCCCAGCCCTCCTTTCTCCCCACAAGTCGCTGCCCCAACACTTCGGAGGAACTTCCAGCCCCCCTTCCACCCTACCTCCTACTCCTAGAGTCGCTTTCTACCGCAGGACTCTTCTTTTCGACTACCCTCGCTGAAGATTTTCTCTTCCTTCCCTCGCCCAACTCTCCCTCGGGGCCTCTACGGAGGACCCCCCCCCCCACGGGTGGCCCAAAATGGAGAACGCGGAGCAGCGCAAGATGGAGGCTCCGCTTCCCTGTGCAGCGTTAGATTTAGGTTGCTTTTCTCCGGCAGGCTCTTAAGCCTGGGAGAGCCAAAACTGGAGGTGGGGTGGAGTGCGAGCCCAGTTGGGGGGGAGGCAGGCCGGGGAGGCTGGGGCTGGGGTGGGGGAGAGCGCGGTTTCGTGGTGAGGGGAAGGAAGAGAGCAAAATGGTGGTGCTGGTAGCCTAGGGGGGAGGGGAGAACGAGGAGGCTCAGTTGTGTATATTTGGGCCTCGGACCGAGGGAGGCGAGGGAAAATCTACTCTGATCACACCCCTCCCTCCCGCGTGCCCCCTCCCATCTCCCTTCCCCTCCTTCCTTCCCTCCCCTCCCTCCCTCTCTTCCTCCCTTCCTAGAGAGGGAACAACATTCATGTGACGGGCCCCTCTGCTTCTCCCCCGCCCCACCATCTCCAGCGCGTGGTGGGGGAACTGCTTGGGAAAGCGGTTGGCATCGATCTCTTCATCCCTTCCGAGGCCCGAGTTCGGTCAGTTTTCTTAGGGCAACAATTTTGTAAATCGGTTGGGGTCCGGCGGCGCTGGCCCCCGCGTGCAGCCCTTGCCCTGAAGGGGCCCCTGCCTGCCTGGCATGGGCGGAGGGGGGAAGGGCGGGAGTGGAAGGCTGTTTGTCGGGGGGTTTTGGCGCCACTTTTGTTTTAGTTTTAGTGCTGCTTTTCGTTCCCACCCCCACCCGCACTGTCTTTCTCACGGCACGAACTGAGCTGATCCTTGCCCCAGGTAGGCAGCCTCTGCTTTTTCCCTCCACACTTTTATTCTTGCTTGAGGGCGACTTTCTCTTTTCTTCTCTCACGTATGCGGAGCTCCGAGGACGGCAATTTTAGGAGGAAAAGGGTCGGATGGGCCAAGGGAGAGAGAAGGTGTGGGAAACAGCATCAAGTAGTTCCGCAAAACTTTGAGCCCCGTTCCCATTTTCTTCTGGCCTAGAATCGTAAACGTATTGTTGATTTCGGCCTTTTTTCCCCCTCCCGTCGCGAGAATGTCTTGTTTTGCCTTTAGTTTTTTTATTCCTTCCTAAAGCGCTGTACTTTCGACATTTAGTTTCCGCTCTTCCTCTGTGTATGTATCGTTTTATTTTAATGCTCAACTGTAATAGGTTATCGTGTGATTTTTTTTTTTTCGTGCTTCAGTGTTCGGCTGTAATTTTTAATATTGTATTAGTAGTTTTTTCCGGTGTGTAAGACTTTCTCTTCGGCCTAGGATGTTTTTTATGTTGTTGCCCCCCCTACCCCACCCCGTCCCTCTCTCTCCTTTCTCTTGGATATAGTTTTTAAATTCAGGGACATGTTTTTTGATTAAATGGTTATTTATAGTTTACGTGATGTATCTACTAGAAACTTTTGATCTGTAGGGTTAGGTTTAAGTAAACGAGAAGCTTGTGTTGGTTTGCAATGGTTCCTTAAAATGCGCGGGCCGCCTCCCCGCCACCCCACCCCCCCGTAAAGCCACATCTTCCCTTCACACTGGAGTGTAAATTCCATACCCCTTTTCTCCTACGGACCGCCGTATATCACAGCAGCCACACCCTGTATTTGTCTCTGTGGATTGGACTCATTATCAGCTTAATTTAGTGACTCTTAAACCACCATGATGGGACTTGCTAAAGCACGAAGCTTCTTTTCCTGTTTAGTCCTAGTGGTTAGTGTCGAAAGAGGAATAACCGAGGTTTTCTTGATGAAACCTGGTGCGGTCCAAGCTCTGCCTTTTTTCTGTTGTCTTTTTCCCTACTCCGGGTTGTTGGCGGTGTCAGCGCCGCTGCTGGGGGCGGGGGGGTGGAGGGGAGAAAGAGTCGGGTTACCGAAGTGCGTCATTCCTGGCTCTAGCAGGGCCTGCTCCGGAGCTGCTGGTGTTTGTTACTGTCCTCGCAGCACTTTCCTGCCAACCTTCTCTCTCTGCGTATTGGTTAGGAGCAAAAACAGGAGGCGGTCTCCTAATTCTGTCTGTAACCTAGCGCGTTTCATTTAAGGGTATATGTGAACTTATTAAAAAAAAAAGGCCCTGGAAAGTGGATACATTGCGGTTTAATGACGTACAATTCAGGTAGTTTAGATTTGCTTTCATATATTTTCCGATGAACAGTGGGGTTAACTTTGAACATTTTAAGCCACTTGGATTAAAATGCCTGGTTTTCTTTCTACATTGATAGAAATCTACAATTAGGGATCAGAAGGACCAGTTAAGGCATAAGTATTCAGCGATTTTTCTCGTGATTGAATTGTAATTTTATGGCACATTATGTTAAATAGTCTTTCATTTCAAGCTAAGATGCTGTGTGAATGCAAGCTAATAGATGTTTAAGTTCCTTTTCACCACATTCCTATTTATCCTCTTAGGTGTAATTTAAAATGTATCCATTGGGTCTTGTGGACTTCATTAACATTCTTAAAGATGGTTATTTCTTTGTTTTTAACTCAATTCCTAAAAGGCATGTATTATCATATCTAAGAGTTATGTAGAGCGCCTGCGCAGTTACATTGTTGAATTTTTGACTTGTTAGTTTTATACTTTTGGCTACCTTTGGGTCATTCTCAGTGTACTTAGTGCAGTGTCTTCCTCTTCCTTTTTGAAGATAATAATGAGTGGGAAGGAAAGGATAAGAGGTAGAGATGAAACAAAAGTGGCCTTCAGTTGATTATTGTAGCTGAATGAGTACTGGAGAGCTCCTTGTTACTTTGTAGTTTAGTGTGTGCTTGAAAATTTCCTTAGGAAAGAAAATTTTCAAATTGTTTTACAATCTTAGTGTAATGACTTAAATTTATATTTATATATCAGTTATTTACATGGGAAACAGCTTTGTATATAAGTACACAATGTGCATCATACAAACTCAGAAAATACTTTAACTGAACCAGTGTAGAACAAACAACATACATTTTTATAAATTGAACTGTAAATGTTTGTAACTTAGTCTGAAAGTGCTGTACTTTTAGTTTCCTTTTAAACTTATTGAGAATAGGAAAATTCCATTTGCAAATTAAAAAAATTCCGCTTGGTGTCTTATTTCATCAAGTTGGAGTTACAGTGAGTCAGTATGAAAGGGATTTACTATTAATAGGAGGGGCTTTGGCATTTGTAGTGACAGTGGAAGGAATTGGGGTGCCGTAGGGAACATTCCTGGTAGGAAGATCTAGGGAGCTGAGTTCAGTTTCAGTATTTGATGTTTAATGACTGGGTAAAGAAGCAGATTGGGAAAGAAATGTACTTATTAGCCACTCCTTCCCACTGTGAAAAAGCTATAGTATTCCAAGGTATCAGAGACTGGTAGGGAGGGTGGAGTGGGTTCTTTTTTAAAAACTGATATGGAAATGAGTGTTTACATTTAAAAATTTAAACCAGACCCCCTTTTTCTTTTTATAAAAAATTTGTTGGTACATGTTTACAGTACATAATGGCTATATTCATCATGGGGAGTTGGTGCATGTTCATAACAAAATTTTCTAAGAAAATACAAATGTAAGTATCCTGACAATACACATTTTATTTTTGTGTAGTGTTTTTCTAAAGTTGGTCAAATTATGCATATTGTTCCATAACTTGCTTTGTTACTTATGAATTAATTTTGAATTTAATTCTGTATCTGATTTTTGAGAAACTGTCAAAGTATTTTCCAGGGTAGTTTTACCACTCCAGAGTGGTTCTCCGACCCCAGCAATTAGGAATGTTCCAGTGTCTCTGGGTATTTGTCACCATTTGAAGTTGTTGCTACTTTTAATGTTAACTAATCTGATAGTTGTGTAGTGTTACCTAATTGTGGTTTTAATTTGCATTTCCTAACTGACTAGGTTAAACATCTTTTCACATGTGTATTTGTCGTCCTTATATACTTTTCTGTATAATTTCCATTCATGTCTTTAGTCCATTTAACCCACCTCCTTTTTAATGAACTGGTGCTGTGTGTAGTTAAAAGTTGATATGCAAACTATTAAAATATTTTCTATTAAGAGCATTCTTACCATTTCCCATCAGTAGTAAAAGTGGATTGCAATTAAAATCCTCCATCCATTAATGTATTCGTGAACTGCTCTTCAGGTCTAAGGTAAATGTCTTATTTTCTGTAGTTCTGTATTGTTCAGTGTCAGGTTTATTTTTTAACCCCTGTGAAATGTATTGTTGAATATATGTCAAAAGTTCTGAACGGACTCCCAAAATATTGGATATTTAATTTTTGTGTTTGTTAAGATGTTTTCCATCTTACCAAAATTCCGCTCCATTCTGGGGACATATATTTCACATCTGGTAACATTAGTATGTGTATTTCATAATCATTTCAGCTTTAGAAGAATGTTAAAGGAAGACATATTACATATTTCAAATTTTCATTCCTATGCAAATATTCTTGAGTAGATGATGAGGATTGTGGCATCAGGTTTATTTTATTGTGGTGAGGTAAAAGCTAAACTACTAAGCCAACAAATTATGAGTTTGGTAACTGAAGTTTATTTAGTTTGGATGTTTTTTGGTACCGGGGATCGCAGGTGGCAGAACCACTGAGCTAAATCCCCGGCCTTTTTTGGGGGGCTTTTTAAAGACAGAGTCTTGCTGTGCAGTTCAGGCTGGCCTTCAACGTGTTAGGTAGCCCAGGTGAGCCTCTTGCTTCGATCTCCCAAGTGCTGGGATTACAGTCATGTGCCACCATGCCAGGCCAAGTTTTCATTTTTTTAAAGCTCAAACACTCCAGATTTTTTGGGGGTGCTGGAGATTTAACCCAGGGCCTTGCATATGCTAGGCAAGTGCTCTAAACCTTTTTTATGTTGAGACAAAGAGTCTCCCTATATAGCCTAGGCTGGCTTCATACTCTGTCCTCCTACCTCAGCCTTTGGACTAGCTGGGATTACTAAGAAGTGCCATGATGACCAGCAGATTTTAATGAAAGTCAACATTTTGTTTGGTTTTCCTTTTCAACCTTACCATCTTCTGTGATCACCGGAGGACCTGTGAGTTAAATTGGGTGGTTGGAGTAGGGGGGCAGGCTCAGGCTCATGCTCAGATTTCATCTTTTAGGAATATAGGATTTTATGTGAAAATAGGCTATGGACAGTTTAGTAATGCCTAATATTCTGCATATTTAATTGATAACACCTACTGTCTTGTGTGGGAAGGTAGTAAACAGTGAATAGCATATTCTTTTTTGCTGTGGGTTCTTTATAATAGATGGAAAACTTCAGTATTTGACGCTGCAAGTTAACTTTTGAACTTAAAATTTCCATTTTACTCTAGTGGAGTGCTATTTTGGGAGCTGGGAGAATAGTAAAGGGATAGTCCAGTTAGTGGTGAGCATTAGTATATATTGAAATGTGATTAATTGTTGGAGCGTAAAAAGGAACTCTAAAGTTAGAGCTATTTTAAATGTTTTTTATATTTTTCTTTTGTGATTTTCTACATTTGATATATGTTTAGGACTTTTAATATTCTCTATATAATTTTTATTTCATTCAGCTATCATGAACTATTTAGTGCATGTTCTGTATGA